CATACCAGTCTGTGCTATGTTAATGTTTACAATCATGTGACATGCAAATGAGAGTAGAAATTGCAGTATTCTTGAGGAGGTGCACAGCTTGGGGACATGCCCAGCAATCTCTGAACATCTGAGTTTATAGCAAGTAGTATGGTAATGCCTCTCTGTTCCATAATAAAAGTAAATGGTGTAACTACTGTAAATTTAATTTTCCTTTTATTGCTCAGCTTGTCCAATAGTCCCAATGTTGTATGCTATGTGGTGTTATTGGTATATTTAAAACCTATCTGATATGCAAAACAAATATATTGGTGAAACAGATGGGAAACAAGTCAGGTGAGTTAATCTTGAGGTCCAGTATTACTGTGAGGAAAAGTTATCTTCATGCTGATTCATTTGAAAAAGCTTGAAAGCTGTCTGCTCATGGGTACACCTGCACAGTTTTGTAATCCAAAGTCACTCAATGCAAATGTTTTATGAAGATTTTAAAAAGCATCTCTACTAAAGATTTTTCTTCTGATAAACTCCAAGACTCAGGATCAGTGTTCTCCAAAAGTGAATGGGAAATGTTTTGTTTTGTCTCTGTGTTTAGAAAATAACATTTTCTCCCTCATCTCTTTAAAAAGCAATAGAAGAATAACACTATTTAATGTCTTCATAATAGATATGCTGTTGTGATAGTAGGGTATTGATTTCCCTTTATGAATAGTATACAAACAGTGATAATCAGAAACCAGATTTGAATTTCAGCTAATCCGGAGTGTATTATTCTTTTTTCCCAGGCAAATGTTTTTAAAAAATCTGCCAGTGTAAATATATTCCTTTCCCCCAAAACATTATCACTGCATTGCCATTTTTTGTGATCTATGTATATGTGAGCCTGGGCAAAAATACACAGTATTTAATTCACATGTGTAAAATATATGCATATTCAAGTGAACAAGAGATAGATAGCTCCTGAATCAGCTTTCCTACTGATGAACACTTGTCACTGAACTATATGAACTTCAGCTATCTTTAGTTATTGCATAAAGCTGCTCTTATCTGCTGGCAATCTGCTGTTGATTTGTTGAGGTACTGTGAAAGGAGTGTGTGATCTTAGAAATTAAACCCCAGTCCAGAGGTACTAATTAAACCTACCACATAAATTTGATAGGTCCTGTGCTAGCAATATCCAAAGAAGGTGGACTCTAATAAACAGGGAAGTCACTTCAAACCTTGCATTCCCTAATAGCTAGACTGTTGCTGAACACAAGTAAGTTATGCTCTGTGTTTTTTATTCAACGAGAGAGGATACCAGTGGGAACTTGAGAAGGCTCCGCTCCATGGCGAAGTTTCAAATACATCTTGATTTGCTGAGGTTCCTCCTAATTTAGATCTATTAGCTCGGAGCCCTTCTGCCCTTGAAAACATACGTGTATTACAGTCATACATGTACAACTGTCTGTGGAGATGGAGATTGCATAGGATCAAGCAGAAGCTGAATGTGCGTTCTTTGTAGTTTCCTGCCAGATGGAAAAACTCATGGAGGAATATTAAAATAATATTTTATAGTTCTGTCAACATTTTTGGTCATGTTGATAATAAGACTTTATTTCTTTAGGTTCATGTTGGATTGTGTGGTTTTCCTTGAATACTTTTAACACTACTAATATTATAATAGTAGGACATCTCCTGTGATCTGTTTTATTTCATAACTCGGGTGTATTTTCAGTGTTGTGTACATTCATAGCAGTCTCAAGATACGTGGCACTCAGTGGGACTTACGAAGTGAATGACTGAGTGAGTGCCTAGTGCCTGAATGATTTATTGCTGCCTGCTATGACAAGTTTCTGAGGGGACAAGCTGATTATGGATTCCAAGATGGATGTCTTTGAATGAAATAAAAATGGTTGTAGAATTCACAGCACAGCTCCAGTTCCCTCTTTTTCCTTTTTTTTTTTTCCCCAGCACACAGTCAAATCTTCACAGTTTCCACTGTAGGCAAGCACAAAAAAGCACAAGTTTCGGAGAGTATTCCCTACATCTCTACACACACATGAACAAGGTTAATATTTGAAATTTCTTACTTTTTATATAAATTTCCCTTGATATTTCAGAAATGTGAAACTAATCTCAAACTGTTTCTAGAGCATTTTCCTCTAGTGCCAACTAATTCACACCCTGACCCTACACTTACTCTGGGGACAGCTGATATTCCTTCTGTGGGAATACTGAGCTCTACTTGGTCTGGTTGCCAGAATGAATAAGAGAAAACAGTGGCTTATAAACAAGAGACCACCTCAGCGTGCTAAAAGTGTTTACTAAAACCTACCTACCCCTTCCTGTGGAAAATCTTGTTCAAGATCAGTTCTTGGAGCTCTCTAGTCTCTTTTATAGCAATTAGAAAGTATTGAAATAATTTGAAAGCTCTTTACTCTTTGTGCAAGTTTTGTACATGCTTCAGGTGACACGGTAAGATGAATCATCTGGCATATTAGGACACGTGATAGGTGTGTGTCTGTGGTTGCCATCCTTGTGTAGATGTGCAGTTAGCACACTGCTTATGTGAAAAGTTGGGCCCTGTGGCATAATGCAGGGCTGCTATGCAATGCAAGAGCTCTTTCGCACTCTGTGTACCAGATTGGTTTGATCAACCACATGTGGTAAGCAGGATTCCTTAATACAGAGGTGCTACAACATTGGCATCAATGCCAATACATGGTATGAATGTGCGTTTCCCTGTGAATGTGAAGAAAGAATTGATGCTGTGACTTGATCCCAATGTAGCAATCTTTGATGGATTTTGCTCTATATGATCACATTTTCTTCATATGGTTTTAAAGTACTGTGTACTACTGCATAAAAATACTCTGTCAGTGTTGTTCTTCATTTGGGTTAATTTATCCTCCTGAGTCAAGGGAGGCTGCTGTGCTACTTTTGGTACTGAAGTAATATATTAAACTGTCTTGGTTATCTCTATTCAGCACTGATTTGAGCATTGTGGAAATAACGTCAGGATTCTGCCATAAAATTTAGTTTATTGAGGTAGTAAGGATTCACATAAACATCTGTAAGGAACATGAGGTATTCTGCCTGAAGGAAGATCAAGGTCAGCACAGGAATAAACAAATAAGACACAGGAAGCAAAATGCAGGCTGGAAATGAGAAGTTAAGCACAATTAATTGTGGAACTCCTACCACAGGATATTGTAGGTGCTAAAATTTTATAAGGATTCAAAAGTGTTTGGACAAATCATTAGAAGAAAAATGCATTGAGAGCTATTAAGCATAATGAGATCACTCTGTACTAAGGGCCACTATTTTTTTTTTTATTCTGAGGGAGTAAGAGCACTTTTATTCTGAGGGAGTAGGCGTAAGTAGGCAAAAGTGTCTGCATAGCTAAGCTACTTGAACGAACTCTTTTCCATTAGAGTCGTCATGTGACTGGTTTCCAGCTGGCTTACATGGTTTTGGTTTTCCTTTGTCAGCCACTGGTGGGACTGCTGAATGTTCTGGATTTTCTTAATTTGGGAGGACTAGGCACACTGCAGAGTAACGTGAGCATGTTTGCATCCACACCTGCACAACAGCTAGTTGTTTGAGGTGTTAATTGTTTCAGCCCAGCACAAACTTTCACCTCCTCTCCACAGCCGTGTGCTCAGGATTAAATTCATTACACTCCTTCAGTCGACAGCATATGACAGTGATACCAAAGTGAAGATTACAAACCCATTACACCTTGTTTAGGGCATCTGGTCAACTTTTTAATTATGTACAGGGAGCTTTATGCTGGAACTCTGTGCTAGCTGCATACCTGAGGTCTGAAAAAATCTGTAAGGTCATACTTCAGGCTTTACCAGATGCACTAATATTAAGCTGCAGTGCAAGATGCCAGAATAAAAATAACAAGCTGAATGGATTAATGAGTTTTCATTGTTTTTTTTTTTTCTTGCCATTGTTCTTATCAAACTGCAGACGCTGTTGTTAATTTTAAAGCGAACCTTAGATTTAGACGATAGAAATGATGACCTTTTTTGTAGCCTATTACATATCTTTTCCTTAGTAAGATGGTCTACAGTGTCCTGAATTGCCCATTTCTGGAGGACTGCTGCAAGGCAGGAAAGGGTGGGCATACCATTCCTACTGCAAACACTAAAATATGCACACAAAGGCTCACGAACAATACAAGTGTTTTCAGTTCAGTTGAAAATAAGGGAAAGCAAGATTTCCAGCTATTGATGGTCTAGGTTGCTCAGTCAGGTCTTAAAACATGTACTTTTAGCCATCTAAAAGTTCAAGTTTTTTTTTCAAGTGATGTGCAAAAGCATACATGTATTGCAGAAAAAGAAGTAAGGAAATGTGAAATTTATTTAAAAGAAATTAATCCAAATCTAACATAGTGCTTGAAAGAAACAGATTCTGTCTTTCTAAATATAAACTCAGTTCAATCAAATATTACCCCTTTGAATGTGAAACCTCTTATGGATATGCAAGCAGTACTTTGAGCTTCATATCATTAATTTTCTAACAGAACTAGCTGTCTTCACCAATTTCAGTATGTTTCTTCTAGCCTAGAAAAGTAAATGCTGGTTTTGTGGAAGGAGCTGTGCTTTGTTTCATCTCATGTATCATCAGCAGAATCATTAATAAAATTTGAGGGCAGAATTTTACTGCTGATGAAGAGCAGGCCAGAAGGAACACAGTTTAATGTTCATATCTCAAGAGGAGTTTCATTAAAGATGCTAGGAAGACATTGCAATGCACAGAAA